TCCTACTTTCGAAATAAGTTAATTCTGGAAATCCCCTATTGCTGTATTGTATATGAATTTAGCATGTATAACGATAATGGCAAAAATAAATCTGGATCATGAATGGATTTACTAGGTCATGACATTATTATAGGATTGATGTTATACAATTGAAACAACCCTTGTGCTATACCCTGCAATGATTTTAAAGACTATGTTTCGCTTGTGGCAAGAAGGGACATATAGCAAAAGACTGCCAAAGCAAGAATAAGATAGGCATCAAAATCAGCCAAGTAGAAAAGGTAAACCCAAGAAAAAATGATAGAAACAATGAAGAAGACATTCAAAATCTCCTGAAAGATGGAGAAAAGGATACAAATCGCGAAAGCCTCCTAAAAATAGAAGGAAAAGTGCAAGGCCGAATCGTATTAATCCTGATAGATTCTGAAGCATCTAAAGACTTCATTAATGAAAAGTTCAGTAAAAACATACGATTAAAAATAAAAAATGATGACATACCTACCGAAATCGAATTAGCAGATGGCTCCAGATGCGAATCAAAAGGGAATGTTTCGAACATTGAGATCAGAATGCAAGGTTACACATATTTGAGAAAGAACGTAGAAGTATTACCTATACAAAAATACGATCTTATTTTAGAGAAACCGTGGCTTTACAACCTGAACCCAAGAATTAACTAGAAAGAAAATCAACTTACAATTAAAAAAGACAACTGAATCTATAAAATCAAAGCAAAGATAGAAAAAAATACAAAAAAATATCAAACAAGCTTCATGTCCAGATAGCAGTTCGTCCGGAAAGCAAAAAGCATCGCAGAATTATATGCTGTACTTGCCGTAGAGGATATCGAAAAGGAAACTAAATTAGAAAAAGTATCAGAGTTCTTAAAAGAATTAGTAGAACAATATCAAGACATCTTTCCTGACGAACTACCCAAGAACCTACCGCCCGAAAGAAATATGGACCACGAAATACCACTTCAAGAAAGAACATCACCACCGTATGGACCTATATACAAAATGTTAGTCCCGGAAATGAAAGAACTAAAAAGACAGATTGAAGATTACCTAAACAAAGAAATAATTAGACCCAGTTTCTCACCGTATAGCACCCCGTACTGTTTGTAGCCAAGAAGAAAGAAACGCTGAGAATGTGCATCGATTATCACGCACTAAATAAAATAACCGGTAAAAATCGATACCCCTTACTACGCATCGATGAGTTATTAGATCAAGTACTAGGCACAAAATACTTCAGTAAAATAGACTTACACTCGGGATATCATCAAATAAGAGTAAAAGTAGATGATGTGCCTAAGACCGCTTTTAGGACACGTTACGGGCATTTCGAATTTTTAGTTATGCCATTTGGCCTGACTAATACTCCCGCGTCATTTATAAGATTAATAAATGACATCTTCGCGAATAGTTTAATAAAAGTGTTATCTTATATCTAGATAATATACTAATATATAGCAAATCAAAAAAAGAACACCGCAAGCATGTAAAAGAAGTATTCGAAATTTTAAGACAACACAAGCTATATAGAAAAATGAAGAAATGTGAATTAGAGAAGAAAGAAGTAGAATTTTTAGGACACATAATTTCAAACAAAGGAGTAAAGATAGACCCCAAGAAAATTAAAACTATCCAAAAATAGCCCACACTTACCAGTGCTCACAACCTCTGATCATTTTTAGGCCTCGCAGATTACTATCAGAAGTTTGTAAAAAATTTTGCAAATACCGCAACGCCATTGACAAAATTACTAAAGAAAGACGAAAAATTCGAGTGGAAAGAACCACAAGAGACGGTATTTAAAAAACTCTAAGAAACATTAATATCCGCTCTAGTTTTATTAATCTTAGACCATAGCAAACTGTTCATACTTACAACCGACACCTCGGACGTCGCAATCGGTACAGTTCTATACCAAGACCAAGGCTCGGGAGAACAGCCAGTAGTATACGAATCAAAAAAACTAACCCCTGCAGAATTAAACTATCCAATACACGAAAATGATCTTCTAGCAATTATCCACGCACTAAAAATTTGGTGTGTATATTTAGAAGGAAATGCTCTCCAAATAATAACTGATCACAAGTCACTGAAATACCTACAATCTCAAACAAAGCTATCACGCAAACAAGCCCGTTGGGTTGAAACCCTTCAAGCATATGATTTCACTATTAGATACTGTCCAGGAAAGGTTAATGTTGTCACCGATGCACTGTTAAGAAAACCTGAAGCAAATGCAATAATAGAAATTAGTATCGAAAATGATATGTATAAAAGGATAAAAAAAGAATATAAAGAAGATACCTATTTTTAAAAAATTTTAAAAGTGCTAGAAGACCCTCAGTGCGAAGAAGCTAAAAGATTAGAAAAGCAGGTAAGTAGATTCGAAATAAAAGAAAATGGATTATTATTTTTCAGAGAAGAAACAGAAGAGCTAAGATTATGTATAGCAAAAGAATCCGAAGAACGAAGACTGTTATTAAAAGAAAGCCATGACTTGAATGGGCATTTCAGATTCGAAAAAACCTACGAGGGATTAAGATGAAGTTACTATTGGAAAAACATGAGTAAAGATGTGAAGAAATATACAAGAAGCTGTGATAGCTGTCAGAGAAACAAAAGTTCCACACAAGTGTTAGCAGAATTATTGCAATCTTTAGAAATCCTGTCACAATCTTGAGAAATCGTATTGATGGATTTTATAACGCATCTACCACGTACAAGAAATAGGAACGATTCAATTATGATAGTGGTAGATAAGTTGAGCAAAAAAGCATATTTTTTACTTACCAGAAGTTTCGCAACAGCAGCAGAAGTCACCCAAGTCTTTTTCAAGGAAATTTTCAAACACTATGACCTACCTCGTTTTATAGTTTCCGATAGAGACCCAAAATTTACAAGTAAATTTTGGAAGTGCCTTTTTAAAATAATGGGAACAGAGTTAAAAATATTGATATCAGCACATCTACAAACTGATGGACAAACAGAATGTACAAACAGAATCCTCGAAAAAGTCTTGCGCGCCTATGTAAACTACAAGCAAGACAATTGGGAAGAAATTTTGCCTGCCGCAGAATTTTCTAACAATAATTCGTTACAAGGATCCATGGGTTATACACCATTCCAATTAGATAACGGACACTATCTGAGGACACCATTAAGCCTAACAAATGAAAAGATTAACCCAACAAATGTTAAAACAGCACAAGAACTGTTTGAGCATTGGACCGAGATAATAAATATAGCAAAAGATTCATTAGTAAATGCTCAAGAGAAACAAAGTGATCAAGCCAACAAAAAGCGACGTTATCTAGAATTAAATGAAGGAGATTTAGTATTATTGAATTCGACAAATATAATTCCACAAAAAAGTACAAAAAGGGCATCAAAGAAACTTATCACAAAACTCATAGGACTCTTCAAAATTGTTTAGAAAATTTTAGCAATAACATATCAATTAAAACTCCCAGAAACACTACGTATTCACCTAGTTTTCCACGTATTCTTATTAAAACCTTACTACCCTAGTGAGTTTAGAGATGAAGTAAGAAAAGAACCCCCAGAAATTGCAACCGAAGATCAAGAAGAACACGAAGTCGAAGCCATACTAGACAAAAGAACATACTACCATCGCCTACAGTACTTAGTAAAATGGAAAGGTCACCCACTATATGATGCTACTTGGAAACCCTTGACTAATCTTGAAAATTACAAAAACTTGGTAAAAGAGTTCGAAAAAACTGGTGAAACTGTTTTAAATAGGGAAGAGTATAAGGAAATCATCGGGTTATATAGTACTATGCACATGTCATATAATGAACGTGACTACTCAATTTGGATAGGTTTCATGTAACCACTAGAATCATATCGGTATTATGATCGTACTTCACGTAAAACGTGATATAAGGTTAAAGTCACTTAGTATGATCGAATCACTAGATCATTTGAGGGTCAAAAAAGCTATACGTTCGAATTGAAGTCATAATTATGTAATTGCTTTGTAACATGCAATATAAATATGTAAAGAAAGCAAAA